CCAAATACAAAATCAAACAACTCACCATCACCACCTACACCACCACCGCCAACAACAACAGCAACAACAGCAAATACATCAGCAACAGCTGCAGCAGCAGCAGCAACAACAAAACAACAACAACAACAACAACAACAACAACAACAACAACAACAACAACAACAGCAACACGTATCTAAATGAATAAAAACTCCCGAAAAAAAATTAGAACACATTTTACAGCCAATCGATCTTGCATCATTGACAACATTACTACTGGAACGTAAATGCTGGAAAAATGCAATGGTGTCTCTGTTCAGTGCACTTTCCGCGTCTCTCTCTTTTTTGGCAGGTCTTTTATGTTGACTCAACATACCTTAGCCAAGCGAAATATTCCTGTGACAAGGGGTTCGAACTCAATGGCTTCGCAGAACGAACCTGTGAGGCAACTGGTCAGTGGGATCCTGAGCAACCAACGTGCGAGCCTCGCAGCTGTCCGGCACCCGAGGACATAGCCCGCGGCTCCTACAGCAGTCCAGACGGAGGCGTGTTTGTGTATCAGTCGAAGATCGAGTATCGTTGCACCACGGGCTTACAGTTGGTCGGGAACCCTGTGTCAGTGTGTCAGGCGGACGGTACGTGGTCGTCAGCGCCTTACTGTGACGAGGTCACGTGCCCGGCCCTTGATACTCCCGACAATGGTAAGCTGTTAATGGAACCCCCCCCCCCCCAATATTCTCATCTAGATCTATAACACGAGCGATTTGGGAAAAACAGATAAGTCCAAAAGCACCCCCCCCCCATTTCCTATTCTCGTATATAAGCGTGACACACTACTAATCTGAAATCATTATGTTCTTGGATCTTTTCTTCTTTGATGTTCTTAAGAAACGTTTCCTAGTTTGTTTCTTCTTGTCACTTCTCTAACTGACTGCAGTGCAGTTTCATGCAAGTTTTGTTTTCTTGTCTTTTAAAAAAAATACAAATCTTTTCAAGACAAACCGTACTTACCGAATACGACACATAATGGGCTTTTGTCATCTCATATTATCTCGTCTTACGTAAGCTGTTCGTATTACGCCGTATCAATCTCATCTAATGCAAACACTTTTCCTCAACTCACTTTTCCGCAACTCTCTTCACCCAATTCCCCTCCGCCACTGACCTTATTCAGCACATTTCAACTAGTCTTATCTATTCTCACCAAATACGTAATTCTACTACAAAGCACCACATTCTCACACGGTAGCCTATAATATCACTATCGAATTTGAACTTACCAAGTTCTTTACAAACCCCCCACCCCCCACCCCACCCTAATCTTACCAACATAATATACTCCGACCACAAAACGTTACATTTTTACATGGCAATTTACCATTATTTCATTTCACCTCATTCTTTACAAAAGAAGGTAATCTTACCAATCTATAAATTCTTACTACAAAACGTTACATTTTTGCACGACAATCTGTCATATTTCATCTCGCCCCTTTTTTTATAAAAAAATCTTATCCTTCCAATCGTTACTTTATACAACAGCTTTTTGTGTGTGTACCTTACAGGATCTGTGGATGTTCTTGGGGAGCGTTTCTCCGACTGGGCTCAGTACGAGTGTGATCCTGGCTACAAGCTGGAGGGCGTAAACCGTCGAACCTGCCAAGGTATATAATTTGCTTTTTAATATCATCTTATCTTTACTTTTTTACTTTTTCTATCCTCTTATACCACACGGTCTCGAGGGGACTTGTGATTGTCGGACATGGGTCATGTGTGTGGCTTTTTGTTTCTTTTGTTGCTCCTTTCAAAGCTGTAAGGTTATTTAAAAGGCGAGAGCTCCGAATTAATGTTAATCTTTCCATTGTGATCTTGCTAGAAAATATGGGCTAGTTCAAAAACGTCTCGTTAAGGATTCTGTTCCATGACAATACCATAGCGATCGGTTCAGCATTGTCATTAAGATTTAAAATGCTATTAAAATCGATGTGAAACATGAGGCCATGAGATTAAAGTAAAACATATCGTGTTTCTTTTTTTCTTTTATTAAAGAAAAGCGCATTGACTCGGTAAATCGTGTTCGGCAAAAGCAAGATGGAAAGAAATAACATAGGCTAGAGAGAGAGAGAGAGAGAGAGAGAGAGAGAGAGAGAGAGAGAGAGAGAGAGAGAGAGAGAGAGAGAGAGAGAGAGAGAAAAGAAAAAGTAGCTTCTATCTTTGGTGCCCCCCCAACTATGTTCCCCTCTTTCCGCCGTGCGTTGCGTCAACAGAATACTAATAGATAGGTACGTGGTGGGAAAAAGTAGGTTGGGGGGGAAGGGGGAAGCTGTGGTAATTTTAACTCCTTACTCTTGGGCTCTGTAATTTCTGTCTAAACTGTGTCGGTCATTTTCATCCTCGACAATCTCTGGCCATCTTAGACAGTTTCGTCTGCAGTTAGGTACGGACCCATGTGGATTTTTTTGTTTCTTCTCTAGCTGACGGAACATGGAGTGACGAGGCCCCTGAATGTGTACCCACCAAG